ACACATGACACTTACTAGCTGTGTGACTCTGGGCAAGTCACTTAACCCCAATTGCCTCACCAAAAAAAAAAAAGCTAGGAACCTGAGTAGAGCATTAGAAAAATTAGAAATGATAAATCTCTGGTAATTATGGAATGCTATCAGAAAGTTTACATATTTTTCATCTGTTCATGTCATCTTTACAAAGATGGACCATGTATTGGCACACACACCCACCCGCACACACAAACATTACAAAGAAATACAGGAAAACAGAACTATTAAACATGTCCATTATTTTTAAAAAATTTTTTTAAAGATGTCCATTACTGACCACAGTGTAATAAAAATTATACTCAATAAAGACCCTTTGAAGAAAGGAATAAAAATTCATTGGAGAATAAATAATGTAATCCTAAAGATCTGTGGGTCACAAAACATATAATGGAAACAGTGGAAAATTTCAACAAAGAAAACAATGAAACAAGTATCAAAACTTAAGAAATGCAACTAAAGCAGTCATTAGGAGAAAATTTGCTTCTTTAAATACTTCTGTCAATAAAAGAGAGAAAGAACAGATCCATGAACTTGGAATGTAATTAAAGAAAAGAAATAGGAAAGCAGCAAATCAGAAAAACCTTAACAAAACACCGAAGTAGAAGTTCTGAAAAATCAAAGAGGAGTTGAACAAAAGAAAATGCAAAACAACTCATTAATCAATAAGTAAAACTTAGAACTGTTTTCTTGGAGGAAGTTAATAAAATAGATAAATAATTATTTAGAATATTTTTAAAAAAGTAAACAAATTGTATCAAAAAGGAAAAAAGGAGAATTTACATATGAACATGTGAAAATAAATAATGAAAAACAAATGAAAATAAACTATCAGAAATTATTTTCTCTGTTATATGCCAAGAAAACTGATAAGTAAAATAGATTAATATTTACAACAACAACAATAATAATAATAATGATAATAAAATCTTCAGTTTAACAGAACTGGATTATTTAAATGACCATTTTAGAAAAAAGAAATTGAATAAACCATAGTGAACTCAAAAAAACCAAACCAAACCAAAAACCTTAGGACCAAATGAATTTACAAGTGAGTTTTATCAAACATTTAGAGAACAATTCCAGTGTCACATACCTGTTTGCAAAAATGGGAAAAAAAGAGATACTTCCAAATTATCTCTAGGGTGAAAATTTGTTCTTAATACCTGAATCAAGGAAGAAAACAACATAGAGAAAGATAACTACACATTAGGGGTTCTTAAAATCAATCTCAATCTCTCTCTTTCTCTCTCTCTCAGTCATGGATTTTTTTTTAATGATTTGGTTAAGCCTGTGAACCCCTTCTCAGGAAGAAAAAGTTTTTAAATAGCTGAGTGAAATGGTAAATTTCAGGTAGAGGTTAGTGAAAAGAAAGATATTATTTTTTCCCCATCAAAATTCATGAACCTCTTGAAATCTGTGTATGGACTCATTTGAGGGTCTGTGGAAAAGGTTAAGAACCTTTTCTATAGACCAGTATCCTCAATGAATGTCAATGTAAAAACATTAAAGCATTAGTAGAGTGGTGCAATAATATATTTTAAAGATTGTATGATGTATGACTAATGTAGAAGTATGTTTGCTATGATTATACATGTATAACCTATATTAGATTGCTTGCAGTCTTGGGGAGGGGGAGGAAGAGGGAAGGAGGGAGGGAGAAAAAATTTGGAATTCAAAATCATATAAAAGTGAATGTTGAAAACTATCCTTACATTAATTGGAAAAAATAAAATACTATTAAGTGGGAAAAAGATTATATGCTGTGAACAGATTAGATGCAGGTTTAATTCGATATAAGGACAACTCTACGACAATTGACCTTATTAATGGACAATATAATAAAAATCACATGATTATATCAATACTGAGAGAGTCTTTGACAAAATCCAATACCCATTTCTATTAAAAACAAACAAGTTAGTCAACAGGAATAAATGGACCTTTCCTTAATATAGTAAATAATATCTATCTAAAACTCAGAGCAAACATTTTATGTAAAGCAGAAAGACGAGCAATCTTTCCAGTTAGATTAGGGGCAAATCAAGAATGTCCATTATTGCCACTACTATTTCCCTAATTGTTAGCAATTTGGGACATTTTTTCCTGTGGTTGTTTGATAGCTTACCTTTGTCGTTTGAAGACCACCTGTTCATATCTTCTGACCATCTACTCGTGACTGGCTCTTGTTCTTATAAATTTCAATCAGTTTCTTATTCAGGTTCTCCTAGAAATCTTGGTGCAGTTTTTTTTTTTCTTGGTTAGGCAATGGGGTTAAGTAACTTGCCCAGGGTCACACAGCTACTAAGTGTTATGTGTCTGAATCCGGATTTGAACTGAGGTCCTCCTGAATCCAGGGCTGGTGCTCTATCCACTGTGCCACTGAGCTGCCCCTTAGTGCAGTTTTGAGTTATTAAAGTTATAGAGAAGATTCCTGTTTCAGGCATAGGGTTGAACTAGTTGGGTTCCTTCCAACTCTAAGATGCATATATGGGTGTGTGTATGTATGTGTGTGTGGTGTGAAATAAGTCAGGAAAAGTGTTTTGGAGCTAGGTTCTAGAAAACCTTGAATGCCTGACTAAAGTGTCTGTATTCAGTAGACCATGTAAGATGTTTTGTGATCTTAACTTTGTAATATTTCCATATAATGGGAACATTACTCCTTTTCTCTAGAGGGCAGTATGAGGGTTAATTAATAATTATGTAATTTCAGGGAAGATTTTTTTTTTTACTGTATTCTAAATATAGATGTGACTTTTCTCTCGTGGTTGCTGTTTTGACACCAATGAACAAGAGTAAATGACTTCCCTCTGCTACCTTTTTCCCTCTGTAGAATGGGGATAATATTTCACTAAGACTTACTGGCCTCCATTGGATGTTATAAGTAGTAATTAGTGCTTGTAAGAGGGCTTGTGGTTTGTAGAGTGCTTTGAAGAGAAATGGCACTAAATTAAATACAGCATTCAATCTTTTTTTCCCCTCTTAATAATAGTATTTTATTTTTTTCCCAATTACATGTAAGGATAGTTTTCAACATTCACTTTTATAAGATTTTGAGTTCCAAATTTTTTTTCTCCCTCTCTCCCCTCCCCTCTCCCCAAGATGGCAAGCAATCTGATATAGGCTATATGTGTACAATCATATTAAACATATTTCCACATTGGTCACACAGCATACAATGCAATACTACAAAGCCCTGGGTTTTAAAGGTAAGAAGACATGCTCGTTTGATCAGTGCTATTAATTACTTATCAATCCTTAGAGTTAATTTCCTATTGCATAGCATGTTTCTTTTGTGTAATCTTTCTCAGAACCGTATCATGTTGTCATCCCAGATCATCCGTTGTAAATATGGAATTTTGCATGGCATTATGAAATGGAAATCTGAAAGTCAGTGGAATTGGGGTGAAGTTAGCTGTTTGGTTTCATTATCGAATGAGTAGGCACTCTTACGTAGAGACTAGTTAATCACTTTCCTGCCTTTTTCATTTAACAACCCTTTTTAAAGTGCTACCCTGTACCAGGCACTGTTTTAGGCATTGGGGAATACAAAGAAAATAAGGAAGCAATCTTTTCTTGGCCTGGCACATAGTAAACATCTATTAAATACTTGTTGACTATTTGCCCTCAAGGAGCTTACATTCTACAAGATGTAAACAACATGCACATAAATGGACCAATATAAAATATATGCTATATATGTAATGTGTATATCCAGTTTCCACACATGCAAAGCACATACATGCATATATATATACACATATATGTATGGATATACATACACACATAAAATAATAAAAAAAGTATGCTTCAGTTGAGGTTTGAAAGATACTAGGTATTCTAAGAGGTGGAAGTGAGGAGGAAGTATATTCCAGGCAGCAGTAGGGAGAAATGAAGGTCATGGACAGGGAAACAGTGAGTAGGCAGTTTTGGCTGGAATGTAGTATGTGAGGGGGAGTATTGTGAAGTCAACCTGGAGAGAAAGTCTGGAGGCAGTTTGTAAAGGGCCTTAAATGCCAGGCAGGGGAGGTTGTATTTTGTCCCAACAAACTACTGAAGCTTCTTGGGCGGGGGAGTGCCTGTGCTTATGAATAGCAGTTTGCCTGCTGTGTAGACACTGTATTTGAGAGGGTAGAAACTGGATCCAAGGAGACCAAGTAAAAGATTATCTTACAAGTCTAGGGAGAAGTGGTGAGATCCTGAAATAAGGTAGTGGCAGCAGGAGTGGAAGGGAAGAAGGGGGACGATTCTGAGAGATGTGGCGATAGAGTTGACATGTCCTGGCAAATAATTAAATATGGGGGATAGAGGCAAGAAAGAATGAAGAACCTGCCATGACGTTATAAACCTGTTTCACTAAAAGTATGGTGATATTCTCAATAGAAATAGGTAACCTAGTTAACTCAGGAAGATTTTGATTTTAGTTCCATTTTGGGCTTCTTATTTGAGGTGGCTAAAGGACGCCCAATTGGAAACGTTCCATAGCAGGAGGTGATGTTAAACTGGAGCTCCAAAGATAGATGAGGACTGGATGTATAGATCTGGGAGTCATCTGCATGGAGATAACTGAACCTGTGGGGTATATCCAATCATGAATTTCAAATATTGAAGGGAAATGAACAAGGTTGTGGGAATTGTGCATTTTCATATTAGTGAAAATAATCAGTCAGTAAGTATTAAGTATCATCTGTATGTCAGGGAATTTGCTAAGGGCCAGGGAGGGAAAGCCAAAGGGAGTCAGTCCCTGCCCTCTAGGTGCTTACATTTTACTTTAGTGAAGAGGTGGGGCATATAAATCAGATATATTGCAACAAGAAAATTGTCTTATTTTAAAATAAATTGCTTGTCATTCTAGGTAGAAGATATTTTAGTTTGGTTTAAGGCAGGAAACTGATTTGGGGTTTTAATTTTCCAAATGAAAGTTTGACTCTTTAAACCCTTATTTGATTTGATTTATTTTAATATAGGAGGACCAGACTCGTCCTTATGTTGCATCTAGCCCTACAAATGGAGCAGAATCCATAGCTGAAGGCTGGATTTCCCGTAAACCTCATGACACCCATTTTGGTGATGTACATTTTTATGACTATGGCAGTGACTGCTGGAACTGGAGGGTGTTTCCTAAAGCTCGATTTGTTTCTGAATATGGATATCAATCCTGGCCCTCCTTCAGTACATTGGAAAAGGTAAACCTGTGATTCATTTTTCTCTTGCATCAAAGAGTCAGAGTGATAGGACGTGGAGCACAAAAGACAGTGACCAATGGGTGACATAGCATGTTCACTTTCCTACATAGAGTAAGTATTAGGGAAAGAAATCAGAGAAGAGATAATTTTTTTACATTATTATGTAAGGTAAATCTCTTCTAAATAGTATTCTTTGAATTCATTCAGCATACATTTATTAAATGCTAATGTTAACTTTATTTTTGCTGTCAATTATGTACCTTCAATATTGTTTCCTTTTACTTATTATGCATGGAAACATTATTATTTTTCCTTTGAATTATTTACTTATTTTGAGATCTAAAGAGCCACTGATTGCTCAGGTCAGACGTAGCACATTATAGAAATTATTTAGATTAACCACCTACTATAAACATATTTTCTTTCTCTTATATTTGGTCTTGCCCACATAATAGATATAAAGATTTGGTTAGCTTAACTCAGTAAAAAAGAAGGTGTGTGGGCTAAGCAAATATTTCTTATGTTTTTATTTTATATTGTCAGACTCTTTCAGGTCTGCTTTAGGCATTGTGGTTGGTTTGCAAGTACTATTTTCTGTATAAATTTAACTTTCTGGCTCCAAAGACTTTCAGAATTGTAGGATCATAGCTCTGAAGCTAGAAGAAACCTTAAAGGCATCTAGTTCACCCTGCCTTACCCTGCCATTATTTTACAGATGAGCAATCTGAAGCCCAGAGAGGATAATTCACTTGTCCAAGGTCACACTAATATAAAATATCAAAGGCAGGGTTTGAACCTAGGTCCTTGGAATCCAGAGCCAGTATTCTTTCCTTTGTATCACATGTGTTTATTCCTGATATTAGTCTGTTTGTATAAACAGGGATAGGAATAAAGATGAACACTGAACCTATGAGTTCATATACAGAGTTTTTGAGTGTTTGTAGCTGACCCTATATGAACCATCACTCCTGGTCGCAATCCTATGGAAAGGTGTGGTTGTGATTTGCAAAGTGATATGTACAAAATCTCTCAGATGTTCTGGGAAACAAATGTACCAAACCTCCACCCTTCAGATTTCTACTTGACAGTTACCTTTTCCATTCTCTGTCTGAGTTTAAAGGCTAGCTGTCTAGGTACGAATGGGAATTACCTCAGAAAGTACTTTAAAATGCAAGATATTTCTCATAAATTCATTAGCTTTGGGCTTCCAGTGCAATAAAACCAAGGACACTTCTTTCCTATAAGTTTTTACTTGTCTTTGAGTCTCAAATCCTGATCTCTTAGTCTAAACAACCATCATTGTTGCTGGCTCTATAACTTATTAATAGTGGCAAATGATAGAAAGACAGATAAATATTTCAGCAGTGTATTAGATGTGAGAAATTTTACAGCTAGAGTCACTTCAGAAGGAAAAGAAGTTGTCAATTAGACTTTTCTCCCAAGGGCTATAGCTGCCAACACCTCCAAAATACTGGAACCATGGTCCAACAATTCGCCTTTCATGGAATCACTGAATTTGAAGAGACTTTTGCAGCATTCTGATAATACATCAAATGGCATATCAGCCATCTCATCATACAAATAACACACTCAACACCACCTTTCTGGGCCAACCTTTCCACTTTTAGACAGTTCTAATTGTTAGGAAGTTTTTCCTGTCGTCAGGCCCAAGTTGGTTGCTATACTTCTGGTTCTGGCCCTCTGGGGTAAAAAAGAATGGTCACCGCACCCCGCCCCCCCAGCCATGTTAGCTTCTCACGTATTTGTAGACAGCTCTTATATCTACTCTTGAGATTTCTCTTGTCCGGGCTAAATATACCCAGTTCTCTCAAGAGAACATCTCTCAGGATGGCAGTTTTTGTCTCTTAGTTGCCCAAAGAAATTCTCTTCTCTACAGAATCAATTAAACTTATTTACCTCAGAATGAATCTTCAGACTTCCAAAGATAATGGTTAATTCTCCAAGTCATTAAAGACTTGTTCTCACTTGGCACTTAACCTGTAGTCACTCACCAGATTCTTTCTGCCGTAACAATGAGCTACTTCAGTCTGTCACAAACACTGTCTCTATGACAGTTAGTTTGCCAAATCTCCTCAGGAAAGGAGGTCTTAGTCCTTTCTCAGTGCTTCACACAGACTCCTCCAAAGAAGAGAGTTCACAGTCAGTCCTCAAGATTTTTCCCTCTATATTAAAGGTGTAGGAACAGTGTCCAAGGGGCAGCTAGGTGGTGCAGTGGATAGAACACCAGGCCAGGAGTCAGGAAGATTCTTCTTCCTCAGTTTAAATCTGGCCTTAGACATTTACACGCTGTGTGACCCTGGGCAAGTCACTTAATCCTATTTGCCTCAGTTTCTTCATCTGAAAAATGAATTGGAGAAGGAAATGGCAAACCACTCTAGTATCTTTGCCGAGAAAATCCCAAATGGGGTCATGAAGAGTCAGATACAACTGAAATAACTGAACAACAACAACAGTTTTCAAAGTCTCTGTGAGGGGTCTAGAAGGACCAGAATTTAAGAGTATCTTGAAGGGCAAGACCAGGCTTTGTCAGTTGATGGTGTATTTTTTTTCCCATAAAGGAAAGAAAATGGATGTAGGAAGAAAAAATTTTTCAAAGTAAAATTATATTATCTGGAGAAATCACGATAAATTACAAAATAGTCTTTTGCATCAAAAAAACTGGTTCTCCTGGTTCTTCTTCTATCCATCTGTCCATTCATTGTCAGTCTCCTCTATCTCTTACTCTCTTATTGTGGGTCTTATCCAGGGCTTTGTCATGGGCCCGAATCTTTTTTCTCTCTCTATATGTGCTACCCTAGGATCTCACCAATTCCAGTGGGTTCGACTATCATTGTTATGCAAATCGAACCCAAATCTATATAGCCAGCTCTTATTTCTGTTGCAAACTCCAGTCGTGTTTTATCAATACCTGCTGGATATTTCTTCCTTGGTGTCATTTATGCATTTCCAACTCAACATGTCTAAAGTAGAACTCATTATCTTCTCCTCTAACCCTGTCCCTCTTTCAAACTAACATCTTTCTGTTGAAGATAACACCTTTGTTACATCTCCCAGTTACTTGTTTGTAACTTCAAGAGTAAATATTTAAAAATTTGATGAAAAGAAAGAATTAGTGTTGAACAGATGAGCAAACTCAGTGACCTTACCATTTTGATAGTGGAGTTTTGTCTTTGTTCCAGATTTTGTGACCCATTTCACCTGTACATTGATTCCCATTCATTTTTATCATAATGAATTCCCATTCACTACGAGACTCCTTTGGCCTAAATAAAGAAAATAAGATTTTGAAAAGCACAGTAATTAAACAACCAGGGAGTTTTAGCAGGTTTTGGCAAAACATTGATTTGGACAGAAGCACTTTTCCAGAATCCTGCAAAGAAGGATTTGGGCATCCAAACCTTAGACATTTACAAGCTGTGTGACCCTGGGCAAGTCACTTAATCCTATTTGCCTCAGTTTCTTCATCTGAAAAATGAATTGGAGAAGGAAATGGCAAACCACTTTAGTATCTTTGCCGAGAAAATCCCAAATGGGGTCATGAAGAGTCAGATACAACTGAAATAACTGAACAACAACAACAGTTTTCAAAGTCTCTGTGAGGGGTCTAGAAGGACCAGAATTTAAGAGTATCTTGAAGGGCAAGACCAGGCTTTGTCAGTTGATGGTGTCAAAAAAGAATATGGATTCAGGAAAAATGACCTTGGTCTTTCCCTTTCCTTCCCTCTCAGTCTTTGTCCCAAAGGCCATGCCGTTTGATCTTTGGCACTGTACTTCCCCCTAGTACTTTGGATGCTGCCTACTCCTTGAAATTCACTGTCCCTTTTCCAGGGGGTAGAAATCTGCCCGGGGTAGTATAGCAGTCTCACATAGAAGGCAGACTCTCACTGCACAAATTTTTACCAAACTAAGCCCATCCTGGGTGCCCATCACTCACCTCAAATTCATACCTCCTCTTCCATAAGAATGCTCTTCAAACCTGGTTTCACCAATACTGGTTTTCAGTATCACGAATAGCAGCTTGATTTAGGCTTGTCCCATTACTGATAAGGATGTGGGATGGGAAAATTGAAAGCATTTATGAAAACGTCACTATAGAGAGCACATATAAACATCTTTTGCAGTGTTGTAGGGTGTTTTCTAAAGTCATTATCCTCAACCTGTACAGAAGTATTTTTCGTTGCCATGGCTCTATTTTCATCTCTTCCTTTGTTTCTAAAAAGGTCTCCTCTGCTGAAGATTGGTCTTACAATAGCAGTTTTTCATTGCATCGACAGCATCATAAAGATGGCAATACTGAGATGCTTGATCAGGCTGATAATCATTTCAAGCTTCCTCAAAACTCGGATCCATTGGTTATGTTCAAAGATACACTCTACCTTACACAGGTGAGGCTTTCCTATTCTCTTGCAATTGAATGAAGAGGAAATAGAGGAATGTTTGACAACTGATTTCTTTTGGTTTATGGGTTTCTCTGCCCTTCAGCTCAAATGATTAGTGATTCCTCAAGTGATTCCTCAGACTAATTGGAGAAAGGTAAAAATATCTGGGCTGTACAGTAAGAATTTTTTCTAGAAGCTTTTGCCCTGCTTATGCTCTCACATAGGGAGAACTGGCTGTAGCAACCTGACAGGTCTGGAAGAGTATTTCAGCCAGTTTGTTCTGTCTGAGATAAAAACTCAGAGTGGTTTTAATTTTGAATTTTGTTTTTGGTGATTTGGATCAGTCTTTCATGTGGTGGTTAATAGCTTCCAATTTTCTCTTGAGAACTATTTATTCATATCTTTTGATTCTTTATCAGTTCAGACATAGCAGTCATTCTTACCTGTTTACGTTAATTCCTTATATGTCTTGGATATCAGACCCTTATCAGAGATATATAATGCAAAGATTTTTTCCCCCAATGACCACTTGCATTTTTATCCTAATTGCATTGATTTTGTTAATATAAAACCTTTTCAGTTTTACATAATTGAAGTGATCCATTTTTTCTTTTGTGTTTATTTCTGTCCTTTATTTTAGTTCCAAATTTCCCCTTTGCCATAGCTGTGAAAGGAATGAGATCTGGTTGTATTATTATTTTACTAATGGTTTTACAAACTTTAATATTTGGGTTGTGTATACATCCTTTAATATTCATGTTGGTGTGAGATATTCATCTCATAATTCATAACTCATAACTCATAATTGAGTTCCTTCTATCAATTTCAGTGTTATGATCTTTAAAGATCTCCTTTTATTTATCTCCTTTTATTTTTTTCCTGTTCCAGCTCATATAGAGACATCTTTTAATGGGAGGAGAGATGTCAGAAGGAAGCATTCATGGCCTAATAAGAATTAGCCTGTTCACCAAATCACATGACCTCAGTCTTTCCCTTTCCTTCCCTCTCAGTCTTTGTCCCAAAGGCCATGCCATTTGATCTTTGGCACTGTACTTCCCCCTAGTACTTTGGATGCTGCCTACTCCTCGAAATTCACTGTCCCTTTTCCAGGGGGTAGAAATCTGCCCGGGGTAGTATAGCAGTCTCACACAGAAGGCAGACTCTCACTGCACAAATTTTTACCAAACTAAGCCCATCCTGGGTGCCCATCACTCACCTCAAATTCATACCTCCTCTTCCATAAGAATGCTCTTCAAGCCATTGCTCAGTGATCAAGGGTTATGAGCAGGCAGTTTTCAGAAGAAGAAATCAGAGCTCTTAATAGTTATATGAAAAAGTGCTCTAAATCACTATTGATTAGAGATATACGAATTAAAACAACTCAAAGGTACCACCTTTCACCTATAAGATTGGCTGACATGACAGAAAAGAAAAATGACAAATGCTGGAGATGTGGAGAAATTGGGACACTAATGAACTGTTGGTAGAGTTGTGAACTGATCCAGTCATTCTGGGGAACAACTTGGAACTTTGCCCTGAAGGCTATGAAACTGTGCATACCCTTTGACACAGGAATACCACTGCTAGCTCTACATCCCAAAGAGATCAAAGAAAAGGGGAAAAGACCTATATGTACAAAAATATTTATAGCCACTCTTTTTGTGGTTGCAAAGAATTGGAAATTGAGGGGAGGCTCATCAACTAGGAAATGGTTAAACAAGTTGTTTTTATGTGATTGTGATAGAATACTATTGTGCTATAAGAAATGATGAGGGAGATGGTTTCAGAAAAACTTGGGAAGAACTATGCAAGCTGATGTAAAGTGAAGTGAGCAGAGCCAGAAGATCCTTGTATACAGTAACAACAACACTGTAATGATGATCAACCATGAAACACTTGTCTACTCTGATCAGTATAACAGTTCTGAGTAACTCATGATGCAAAATGCTGTACACTTCCAAAGAAGAGAACTGATAAATTTTAAGTGCAGTTTGCAATACAATTTTTTCACTTTCAAATGCAGAATTCCTATTCAGCTGTTCCCTCCAGTAAAAAAACAAAAACATTGATTCATTGGGACAGAGTGTACGAGGAGAGTGTGGAGGATATAGTTTATGGTAACTTAGTTCAATTCTTACGCCTGAGTTAGTTCCTCTGAAATCATTATACTCTTGGGTCCTTTTTATCCCATGATGGTTCCTCTTTGTTCTGTATTTTATTCTAAACCTCAATCCTTTTTTTCCCCTCTTAATCGCTAAACATGAGCTAATTAATTTCATTACTTCCTCTTTTCTTGTATAATTTGCTTTGTGTGTATCTGGGGTATTTGCAAATTAAATATCAGAAAGTGCTTCTCTGTATTAATTTTCTTTAGTGTTTGTATATAATCGTTGACAGAAATGTCTATTTTTTACATTTGTTCTTTTCATGGTGTGAGCCTTTTTAGATGTTTTTCAGGCTATTTTCCTCCCATTATTTCACAGAGCTGTTAGAACTCTGTCTGTTACTTTATTCTGGTTTAACAGTCCCACGCAGGAGGCAGCTTTTCTTTAGGGAGAGAAGGAAGGGGAAAGACCCAGGCCATGTGATTTGGAGAACAGGCTAATCCTATTAGGCCAGAGCTGTTTCCTTCTGACATTGCTTCCCCCATGAGACGGTGTCTCTATAGGAGGTGGAACAGGAGAAAAATAAAAGGAGGATCAGGTAAGATCTTTAAAGGTCATAACAGCGAAATTGATAGAAGGAGCTTAATATAAATTATCCAGTATGATCAGTCAAGGGTTGACAGAATCAGTTGTTCTTTCCTGAATTTATTAGCATTGTTATCAACATAATTAGAAACCTGATTTACAAATGGAATTATTTATGATGGGTATTGGGTGGTTACTTTCCAGAAAATTGGCAACATAATAGTATCAAATGTTGGCTATGAATTAGAATCAATAATAATACCTTGGAACTCTTATGTTTACTAGGTTTACTCAGAACTGTCTGGGTTGAAAATAAATAGCATGATGACTTTTAAAAATCACCATTTTAATTGTCTGGGTGACATAAAATGGAAGTTATACCTGTTTTTTCTTGTTAATGGAATTTCAAATCATCTTTCTTCTGTACACCAAAAATGAAATCCTCTCCCAGATCACTTTCATGGATTTCATTGGGTCTCACCTTGTAGCTGTAGTTACGATCCTTATCCTCAAGATAACCGTGAGACTTTGGACAAGCCATTTAACCACAAAATGAAGATCATACGGTCTTAGATACAGACCTGAAAAAGGTCCGAGTGCACCTTGTTTAGCTTTTTCTCTCTACAGATGAGGGACCCAGATAGATTAAGAACAGGTAGAAAGTGGCAGAGCCATGATTGGAACCCAGGTTAACTGCAAATCCAACATTCTTTCCACTGAACCATCTTTCTTCACAGGGTTGTTGTAAAAAAATAAGTAAATAAAAGCATTTTGTAATCCTTAAAAAAGGATTTGAAATATGAATTTTTACTATGTCCATGGTACATTTGTCTTTCTGTGATGAAGACTACAGACAGCTTGGTACAGTGGGAAGTGTGCTGGTGAGGACCTAGGTTTGAATTCCAGCCCTACCACCTCCTAACTGTGTGACCTTGGATAAATGTAACTTCTCTGGGTATTACCTTCCTTATCTGTAAAATAGGAGGGTCAGCTTTGATGACCTCTAAGTGGTCCCTTCTGTCTCTAACTTATGCCCCAATAAAGCTAGTATGCTTCTCTGCCACGCTTAGAGACACCCTCCCACTGCAAAAAACTTTTTCTACGCTAAGCCTATCCCAATCCATATCTCACATCCCATGCTCATTCCTCCTCTCCTGTAAGAATGCTCTTCAGAGCCACTTTAGCCCTTCCTTATTGGACAAGACTCATTCTTTGCTCAAGGGCGCCATGGTCTCTCCCACTTGTATCTCATTTTTCCTTCTAGCCATTAACTTCTTCCCAAGCTCATAGATAATGTTGTAGATATTTCTATATTTTTATTTTGTTTTATTTTAATTTTAGTTCCATATTCTTACTCTCCTACTTCCTTCTCCCCTCCTTTGAGAAAACAAGAAAAACAAAATTCATTACAAATGTATATTTAAGCAAAACCAAGTCCCATGTTAGGCATGTCAAAATTTGCCTTAATCTGTACTTTTGGGTCCAACTTTTGAGTTTCATCATGCGTCCTCTGACACCGTGGTTGATCCTTGAGTTGCTCGCAGGTCCAAAACCTTTCAGAGTTGTTTGTATTTATAGTATTGTTGTGATTGTGCACATTCTTTTCCTGGTTCTGCTCACTTCACTCTGCATCAGGTCATCAAAGTCTTAGAAGTATTTCTACAGTCTGTCTAGGTAGCTAGAATTAGAGTAGCTGACTCCCACACCAACTCTAAAATCGAGATTCCCCGTTACAATATCCTTCAGCCTAAACTTGGAGAATAATATAGCTCAGTTCTTGGGCTGAGTTGGAGTCTTCAATCTTCACTTATGTTGTTAAGTATCAGAGAGCCTTCACACCCTCTTCAGTTCACTTCAAGGGTCATGCCTCCATCAGTGTCAACCTATTTACAAAACAAGAAACATCAAGTTCATAAAATTATATAGAATCATAAAACATAAAAGTTTAGAGGGAGCTTCAAAGTCATGTAGTAACAACCCTCTCCAAATCATTAGTCCTGCTGGTGTGGCCAAGAAGAACTTATCCAACCTCTGCTTTGAAGACCTCAAGTTATATGTAAAACCTTTAATTTTATGTAATCAGTATTGTCCATTTTATATTCTGTGATTCTATTTCTTGTTTGGTCATGAAATCTTCCCCCATCCGTAGATCCAAAAGATAACTCTTCTCTGCTCCTCCAATTTATATGTGATGTGACCTTTTATATCTAGGTCATGTATGCATTTGCATATAGTGTATGCATGTGCATACCCATATATATATTAAACCTTAATTTCTTCTAGACTGCTGCCGAGTTTTCCCAACAGTTTTTGTCAGATAGTGAGTCCTTGCCCAGGGTCTTTGGATTTATTGCGTACTAGACTGCTAAGTTCTTTTGCTTCTTTAAGTTGTGTATGTAATTTGTTCCATCGATTAGCTTCTCTGCTTTTTAACCAGTATCAAATTGTTTTGATGATTACCATTTTGTAACATAGGTTAAGGTCTGGTACTGCTAGAACGCCTTCTTTCCCATTTTTTTTTAGATTCTTGACCTTTTTTTCCTCTCCAGAGGAATTTTCATTATTATTTTTTTCTAGCTCTATAAAGTAATCTTTTGTTAGTTTGACTGGCATGACACTAAATAAGTAAATTAATTTGGGTAGTATTATCATTTTATTAAATTGGTTTGACCCACCCATGAACAATTACTATTTCTACAATTATTAATTCCAGTTATGGGAAATTAACTCTCATCCCCCGAGGTACCCTCTTCTACTTTGGATAGCTCTGATTGTTAGCAAGTTTTTCCTGATGTTGAGCACGAATATGTTTCACTGTAGCCTCCGCTATGGACAGGCAACATAAATCTCATCTTTCTTTCACATGGCAAAGAGTCAAGTATTTAAAGACTCACCCTAAGTCTTCTCATAAACTTAACATCCCTAGTTTCTTTAGCTGATTGAATTCAACAAATATTTTTAAAGTAGAAATCATCATGTTTTTTAGTTCTTTTTTTCTAGTCCCTTCATCATCTTGGTCACCCTCCTCTGATTGCACTATGGTGTTTCCATGGCCCTTCTAAAATAGGCTGCTTCAGTTGTGGTATATGAATATAATGAAATACTATTGTGCTGTAAGAAATGATAAGTAGGTGGACTTCAGAAAAACCTGGAAAGACTTGTGTGGACTGATGCTGATTGAAGTGAGCAGAACTAGATGAGTGTTGTACACATTAACAGTCACGTTGTGCAATGACTAACTTTGATAGACTTAGCCCTTCTCAGCAAGGCAAGGATCTAAGACATCTCCAAAAGGCTCATGATGGAAAATGCTATCCACATCCAGAGAAAAAACTATGGAGTTTGAATGCAGATCGAAGTATACTATTTGCCCTTTTTTCTTCTGTTTTGTTTTGTTTCCTCTTTCTTGTGGTTGCTTCTATTGGTTCTAATTCTACCTTACAACATGATTAATGGGAAAATATGTTTAATTGCAATGTATGTGTATAGTGTATATCAGATTGCATGCTGTCTTGGGAAGGGAGGGGGAGAAAAATTTAAAACTCAAAAGCTTATGGAAATGTTTGTTGATAAATCAAAATAAATTAATAAAAATAAATAGATAAAAGACTGGAAAGGTAGGAGGGAGCTGGGTTATGAAGGGCTTTGAATGTCAAACAGAGCATTTTGTAGTTGATCCTGGAGGTAATGTATATTACTTCTGAACCCTAAAGATTCAACTAAAATAAAACAGTAACTTTACCAAAGTAGAAGGATATGAACGGCCCCCCCCCCAAAAAAAATAGACTACTTTGAGTTGGATGTTGCCTAAGAAGGACTCTTACTTCCTTTGCTCAGGACATATGACTCATTTTACTTTGTGCTAGGATTTCCTTCACTTTTTGACTGCCATGACACACTCCATGATGACTCCTTGTACTTGCCTGTGTACTCGGTCCTGTTCACGTGAATTGCCTTCTGACTATGTCTTCTTATCTTGTGCTTCTGTACCTGATGTTTGTTTTGTTAAAATATGGGGCTTTTCATTTATCTATCTTAAATTTCATCTTACTACCACCACCTAGCTTCTTTGGGACACACACAAGAAAATATCACATAGCTTCCCATGGTTTTAAAAAACTTTAGTTTGATTTCTTCAAATTCAGTGTCACTATATCATAATGATCCTCCCCTTCTCCCCCTCACTGTTCAGTCTGCTAAAGAAGGGGAATTAAGAGACTGACAGGTTTCAGCTCTCACTGTATTGTCCAGTCTTCACACCTCTGGAGCCTGTTAGCCATGTTTAAGCAGTGCCCTTTGGTGATGTCAGTTATTTGTAGAGAGATCTCTGTTTTAAGCATTTATTGTCTAAATTTTACCCAGAAAGTGTTTTCCCATTATAATATTGTTGCTATAGTGATAGCAATTGTCCTTTGAATTGTTTCAACACATTTTTTTTTTCAACAGAATCGGTGTGTGTGGGGTATTATGCTTATAATGAATTTACAGGTATCCACTGGTGCTCATGACTGTGAACCACTTAATATCATTCCATTGCTCCTTTAACCAGAATAGCGTCCTTCAGTGTGAGGGACTGGGTGTGTTATCCTATATCTCTGAGCTACAGAAAGATTTGCTGTTCTGCCTCCAGACCCTCCTCCTTCTTGGGCTTAATTGGGCATGGATTTCTCGCACAAACTAGATTAGATTAACTTCAGTCTTTTTGAGGCCTCAGTTTAGCACAGTGCCTGGAACATAGTAGGTGCTTAATAAATTGATTGATCATACCAGGCAACTGAGGCAGAGATTCTTGGGTCATTTCTCTTCCTTTTTCATTTCCCGTATTCTTATTGTGAAGAGACTGTAGATAAAACATCCATGTGCCTTCTGACCTAGTCCAGTCCCTGGGTAATATGACTAAACTGAGATTTTCTCATTTTTTTTTCTTGGAAGGATGTCTCATTTTCTGATGTCTGGTCACTCTAGTGTACTTAACTCAGAACTCTAGGTTTGACCTCTCTCTACCTTATGATTAAATCTAGATTCCAGGAAAGTTTGAGGCCCAGCCTGGCCTTCTCACTGACTCTTCTCTTGGTTGATGTAGTCTGAAGATGAGGATTTTACTGCTAACATATACCTTGGGCTAACTCTTTAGCGCCTAGGGTATGGTGAGCATTTATTAATACTTCCGTGTGCAAACTACTGCCCTAGGCAGTAGGGACAAAGGTGAAACAATCTCTTACCTCAGACAGCTTACATTCTGCCGGAGGGATGCTTCACATACACAAACAAGTCAGTTCTTGGCCACTCCCAGGATCATAAATTTAGAGCTGAAGGGACCATTTACTGTAAAACCAGCTGCCAGGAAACCTACCTTCTCTCTGTCTCTGTCTCTGTCTCTGTCTCTGTCTCTCTCTATCAACTTGGCAATTATGAATGACCTGAATATCATCTTAGGATGCAGTATGGTCTAGGGGGAAAGATCTAGAATCAGATGGGTTCAAATCCTACCTTTAATACTAGTTTGTAAGCAGTTTAACCTTTCTGAGCCTCAGTTCCCTTATCTGTAAAATAGGGATGGATAGCACCTGACGATTCCAACAGCTCCCTATTCCCTCTAGGATCAAATAAATCTCTGTTAGACATTTAAGGCATTTTACTTCCTGGCCCCACCTTTCCTGCCTTATTACATATTAGTCCCCTTCACAAACACTGTAGTCCAGCCAGCTTGGCCATGTTACTTCTCCTTATATGTGTTCTTTTTGCCAAGTCTGGAATGCAATCTCTCCTTCCCTCTGCCTCTTAGAATCCTTAGGTTCCTTAAAGGCCCAGCTCAAGCATCACCTTCTACATGGGACCTTTCCTATACCATCCAGATATTCTCTCCCCCCACCCAAGATATTTTGTATCTGTGCTGTATCTATCTATGTATGTGCGTGTTGTTTCCCTGGGTAAGACTGTAAACTTTGTATCCCCAATGGCTGCCACATAGATGACTAATTTATTATATATAAATGCTTAATAAGTGATTAGTGCCTTGTAGTACCTTGCAGGGTAATATTGTTAGAATCAAATGAGACGTTTTAGGTTGTATTGTATAAACATCAGCAGTTTTTTTTTTGTTATTATTTCCCTAATGATATCTGAGGGTTTGCTTTTTTTTAATTTAACTTTTTTCAATTAAAAAATCCTTTTTTCTCTCCTTTCTATCTTCCTCTTACCCCTCCCCCAAATTAGGGGAAAAAAAGAAAGACAATTGAAATCCTAATGACAAATATGCATAGTCAGGCAAATACATATATATATACACACATATATACATATATATGTGTGTATTTATATATGACAAGAATTTACTTTTCATAATTCCTTCAAGGTGAAACATGTGACTGTGAGATTGGCATAATTCCATGGTGCGTCTTACACAGAAACAAAATTCAATGCTGTCTTTCATTGCTTTAGCTGTTTTAGGGTTTCTCTGCCCACGAATGGATAAATAGCGATGTATATATTTTGTCTCTTCTCTTAAATCAGGTGATGCAGGCCCAGTGCATAAAGACAGAGACAGAGTTTTACCGACGAAGCCAGAATGAAATAGTGCATGGTCAGGGCCACACCATGGGGGCCCTTTATTGGCAGCTGAATGACATCTGGCAGGCCCCGTCCTGGTCTTCACTAGGTGAGTCTCTCAGTTGGTACCATTATAAGAAGTCTTGTAGCTGTATGAGTACGATAAAATCATATGTAAGAAGAGAGATGGAGACCCCAAAAGAGGGAAGTGGATAAAGAAAAGTACCTGAGAGGGAGAAAATTGGCCTCACCAGAAATATACCAAGATGAGACACTTCTGCAGATACAATACTTTGATTCTTTCCAAAGCTTCTCTCTCAGAAGGACACAAGCTTCTCAAGGAAACCATTCAGGGAAATATCCATCTCATGTGTCAGTCCAGTCCTTGCATCCCCGGCACTGGCGCAGTCTTTGGCACATAGGAGGCATCTAAGGCGTGATGTAGCCAGCGTTAAGCATTGACAAGAATCTTGTCAACAGAAGGACAAGGGGAATCAATTTAGGTTTGGACATTTGGTTATCTTATAATTGTTGGTGTGGGATTTTATTTTAGAGGACTCCGAGGAAGAGAGCTGGCCCTTCAGCCTTCCTGTGTTTGAGTGTGGAGTTTGGTGGAGTGATCATTTCAAGCAAAAGTTCCCGAGCCTTCATGCCTGCCTCACCTGGATCTCCTAAAGTCGTCTTTGCCCTATTATCTTCCTTAACACAAAAGTAAACTAGTGCCTGCATTCCAAAAAGGATAGATCATAGATCTTGAACTGAAAGGGACCACAAAGAACATCTAGTCCAACCTGTTCTTTTACAGATAAAATCTAGCCACGAGGAGGTTATGTGACTTGCCCAAGGTCACCCTTTTGGACTATTTCTTGAAGTTTTAGGGTTACTAGAATCACTTCCCAGGCAGGGTCACCTTGGGAATATTTTCAGTGGTGGAGAATCTTTATCTTTTGAGGAGGAATATTGGGAAAAGCTAAAGGTTATTGGCAGAATCATAGGCTATTAAACCAGAATGAGCCTTAAGGATCATCTATTCGAGCTCCTTCATTTTATAGATAAGGAAACGAGGCTCAGACAAAGTGATTTGGCTGAAATACACAATTTACTTAGGGATGGAGTTAGACTAGAAACCTGGTCTCTTGAATTCCAATGCAATGCCCTTTCTACTATATAATTTAGAATCATAGATGATAATTTTGGAGGTGGGGATCCTCAAAATTATTAGATGTAATTATATAGCTTCAAGTGATTCTCTTGAGCACAGCTACTAGATGAACAAGACATCAGGGCTGGCCTTTTCTAGCTCTTTCTTTATGGTTCTGGAACCTTCGGTTTTTCCTGGCTCAGGAGGGCAAGACCTCATCTGCCTGAATTCTGCATCAGGCACGGCGGGCATTGGGTGTAGCAGTGATTGCCACACCCAAGCAAGAGGAGATGCAACCATGGCGCATTTAGGATGGAGCCTATGAAGCCTACGGTGGCAAAGGATCAGTGGGCTCTTTCTTTTCTCTACCTCTCTTCTTTCTAAAGTTTTTCCCCCCTCAAAATTTTCTATCAGAAACATAACCACCTTATATCCCAGAGTCTTCTGCGAAAGATCATCTGGAGAGTTTCCTTTTAATAATAAATTCTAATATTAATAGGCATAGTAGAGGCCACTAGATAGAGCTTTAAGTCTGGAATCAGGAAGACCTGAATTTAAACCTGACTTCAGACACTGACTAGCTGTGTGACCCTGGGCAATTCACTTAACCTCTGTTTACCTCAGTTTCCTTATCTGTAAAACAAGGATCATAATAGCATCCATCTCCCAGGGTTGTTGTAAGAATAAAATGAGATAGCATAAAACTCTTTGCAAACTTAAAGCACTATATAAATGCTATCATCATCATCATCATCCAAACCAAAGTTCTTTGTGAGGTCCAAGTGATATGTTCATTACATATCCAGGGGGATCTTGCTTAATTATTTCCCAAGAAAATTGAAGCCATCAGCTCCCCTCAATGTCATTTCCCATTTTCTTTTGATTTGTTCTAGTCTTGGAGGATGATGAGGTCTGTCTCCTTCCCAAAGCTAACTGCTCTACTTTTTTTTTTTTTTGGTAAGGCAGTTGGGGTTAAGTGACTTGCCTAGGGTCTCACAGCTAGTGTCAAGTGTCTGAGGCTGGCTTTGAACTCAGGTCCTCCTGACTCCAGGGCCAGTGCTCTTTCCACTGCACCACCTAGCTGCCCCTAACTGCTCCGCTTTTGCCCTTGACCTGTCTTTTCTAACCTCTTCCAGAAGCTTTGCCCCTTTGCCTCTTTCCCTAGAAATCTTTAGTCTCTATTTATTGTCTTTGCTGCTGCTCTGGAGCCCTGACATGTCCACATCTCTCCCATCCTTTAAAAAAACCTCACAACCCTTCCCTTGCTCCTGCTGTTCATTCATTAAACAGATTGAAGAATACTTTTTTCCACTTTCTTTATTTTTCTTTTTTTTTTCCCCAACATGGGCCCTCTTGTATCTCTCTTGGTGTCTTTGAACAGCTCCTCCAAATCCACTTATAATCTTCATGCAAGTGACTCCCGGATCTGCCTACCCAGCCCTCATTAGCCTCTGAGCTAAAATTCTGCCTTTCGTACTGCCTCCTAGACGTTTTCACCTGGATGTACCAGAGGCATCTTGAATTTACTGTCCAAAATGAACCTCATTAAATTCCCTCCAAAACCCATCTTTCTTAATGTCCCAATTTTTGTCAACTTCTCAGTAATCCTCAACTTCTTCTCCTTCCTCATGTCCCATGCCGAGGCAGTTGCCAGGCCTCAATGCCGTCTGCAATATTTCTCACATCTGTCCTCTCCTCACATGGCCTCCACCCTAATTCAGACCCTCATCACCTTTCACCTGGGCTACTGCAGCAGCCTCCTTATTTGTCACCTTTACCTCCATTTTCTCTCCTCTCTGGTTTGTCCTCCACATAGCTGACAGATAGATGTCCTTAAGGGACAGGTCTGACCATGTCACTCTTCTGAACAAGAAGCTTCAATAGATCTTTAAATAAAAACTCCTCCTCTCCTGCCTTCCCCTGGCCTTGGATTATCACAATCTCTTTCAAGCACATAAATAAGAATTTATTGAAATTAAAATTAATTTTTAAAATTACTAGATAGCACATTTAGACAAAATACTTTCTAGTATTTGGCAGAATAGTTTAAATTTTTTTGTAGCCCATATACCATGCAAACTTCTTATGGTTATACCTCTCAATATATCAATATCAAGAAAAATGTAATTCGGTTTTATCTGTGAGAGGACTACAGGTCTCCACACCTCCCTTTTGCAAAAAAAAAAAGAAAAAAAAAGAGATAGTGGTGGTAGTGGTGGTAGGAGGACAATTAAATACAGATGTGAACTATCTAAGTGGTATTCAACTACTAACTTTCTCTCAATCAATTTAAATGTGAACAAGTGGAGAAAGGTAACAGATCAAAGACTTTAAGTAAAGTGACAAGCGCATTAACATGGAGCATGTTGCTAAATACCTTCCCTCTTATTATTTCACTCCATTGGGGTGAGAACTTGAAAAGAGTATGCTTTATAAGCAGATTTATTTTAATTGGTTTTACATTCCCTTAAAATCTCACACTCTAGCACGAGATTGTGTATATTAGCATTGATTATATAGCATTATGTACTTGACTCTGTATTTGACTATTTATAAAACTTAATAGGCTCCAGGAAACATCCCAAACCCTCCTGGAGGCAGGTTGATCCTCCTTTTAAGGCAAATTAGTGAAAATAGTGAAAGGCCAAGCCACCTCTGCATGAATTTGTGGCATCAAACACTGAATCAGTTAAGAAACCTCCCGAAACTTAGGTTTTATAAATTGTCATTGCGCCAAGAAAAGAGAGCAGAAAGAAGGATGCTGCTACCAGTTCACTGCATTAAAAGGTGGTATTTTTTTTTATCGGGTCCTTTCATTATTCATCATTTTTAGAACCAGTTTTGCTTAAATTTCCAACTCCATCAACCCTGTTACTTTTTTTGGGGAAGGTGGTGGTTTCTTTTTGCCATCCGTTTTGTCTCCTGGCTTCCATGCCTGGGTTTTTAAAAGCTGACTTTTTAAAAAATCATTTTTTTTTCCTTACATCAGGGCAGAGCTGTAGTAAAAGTTCCTACTGAAATAATATTGTTTATTGATGTCATAAAATTAATAATTTGATGAGTCTACATGAATTGGTCTTTACTGTCTTTGTCAAACTCAGACTCCACGTGTGTGTGTGTGTGTGTACGTGTTTAACATTTTCAAGATTAACTCCAAATTTTTGCAATAGCTTAGCATCTTTGCAGCTGACTATTGGGTACTGTGAAAAAAAAGTGTCTGTAGACCATTGGAGGCATATCCTTGACTTTAATCATGTATGATTGCTTGCTAATGTTCCTATACCCTTTCATAATCTTAATAAAGGAATAGTTTTTTTAAATGTACATATATGATTAGAGTTATTTATGGATCTGTTTCTCTCCAAGAAATTTGTATTAAGGCTGGGGAAATCAAACAAAAGATTTAGTTATTTGAAGCATTTATCTTCTTCATTAGCAGAACACAATAGTTCCATCTCTTGGTCCTGACTGGCACTCATCCCTCTGGCAATGAGGTCTTCCTCCCTCTGGAAGCTGTGGGTTGGGGGAGAGGAGGAGGCAGTTGTGGGTGGTATCAGGGACCATACGCTATGACTTGATCCCCCACCTCACCTCAATCACCTCACTTGCTTCCCAATATCCCATTCTTCTAATTGGTGCTGTACTGTGCAAGCTTCTTCCCTCTCTATTCTAACCTTCACATAGCTTCCAAAGTGATTTTTCATAAAGCTTAGATCTGACCAGTTATTACCCCTATTACCTCTAGGATCAAATAGAAACTCCTCTTTGTGGCATTTAAATCTCTTCACAACCTGGCCTCTTCTTATCTTTAAAGTCTTTTTACACATTACCTCTTTCTACATTACCTCTCTCCACTCACTCTGCATTCCCGCCATATTGGTGTCCCCATTGTTCCTAACACAGTGCCTTAAGTCCCATCTCCATACTCTTGTACTGATTCTGTCCCATATCTGAATGCATTTCTTTCTCACTTCAGCCCCTACTCACGGTCTTCCTTTTCCCAACTTTCTTTGAGACATTCCCTTTCATTATTTCTTATAGCACAGTAGTATTCTATAACACTTTTATACCATAATTTATTTAGCCACTCTCCAATTGATGGGCACTCCCTTATTTTCCAATTCCTTACCACCCCAAGAAGAGATATGATAAATATTTTTGTACATATGAGTCCTTTTTGCTCATTCTTTGAGCTCTTTGGGGAATATACCTAGTAGTGGTATTGCTGGGTCAAAGGATATGCACAGTCTAATAAATTTTTGGGCATAGTTTCAGTTGACCATGCCAGTTCACAGCCCCAGCAGCAGTGTGTCAGTGTACCTGTTTTTCCACAGCTTTTCCAGCATTTGCCATTTTCCTTCTTGGCCAGATTATAACCACCACCTTCCCCAAACTATCTTCATTTTATATGTGTTTATATTTCTGTATGTTTGTGTTGTCTCCCATTTGCTTCTTGAAGCTAAACATTGACTTTTGTCTTTGTATCCCCATTCCTCAACACAGTGTCTAGCGGGGTGGGGAACCTGTGGCCTCAAGACCACATGTGGCCCTCTAGGTCCTCAAGCGTAGCCCTTTGACTGAATCCAAATCCTTAATAAAAGAATTTGTGCTGTAAAACTTGGACTCAGTCAAAAGGTCACACCCAGGAACCCACAAGGCCACATGTGGCCTTGAGGCTGCAGGTTCCTCACCCCTGCTAGCCTAGAACACAGGTGCATAGTAGATCCTTTCTGAATTGTGTTGAGTAGGAATCAGGAAAGACTTTATGTGAAGGAGGAGGAGGAGGAGGCAGTAGAGAGACACTGTTGTACCAATCCCTGAGATCCTAAGAAGAAATGACTGGGTGATGATGAGTTGGCCCAGATTGAGAATGGGTACACTTGGATTTGTGATAACAGAAGCCCCTGTTCTTCTGGAGTCTCTACCTTAGGACATGAGAAATATTATCAGTGGCCTGAAACTTAGGGCATCTGTTCTTACTGCTCTTATCTTTCTTTGTGTCCCTGACACTTAGCACAGTGCCTGGCACATAGTAAATGCTTGTTGACTGCCTGTTCCACAGTTCTGAGTGGGTGAGCAATGAGGGGAATCACTGGTCCCAAGGGGAGATATATTCTTGGCATTTCGAATGGGAGTTCTGGATTTTACTACAAACATACTCTTGTCCGTAATGGTTTCTACAGAGAGAAAGGGTAATTGAAAGCTTTGTTACTCCTTGTGCAACCTTCCATCTCTGGGCCTCAGGTTCCTCATCTTCATAGTGAGAGAGTCAGACTGTATGATCTCCATGATCCCTTTCATGGATCCCTAAGTCCCATGATCCTACTGGTACAGAACTATACTTCTTGTACCAAGTGGGTTAAATATTAGCCTGGTAATCTAACTACCACATGTACTATGATTGCCATTAGAAATTGTATTATGGGTTCCGAACATGTGACTTACAAACAATCTTCAGTTAAGTAGAACATTGGCTCCTAATTGGGTACTCTGTAAGGAAGCTAATGAAAACCTAAAAAAAAATCTTGCTTTTGCTTTGAGCTTCTCCTTTGTATCATGTCTCCCATTTGGTTGAGCAAATCCCCTAGGACTTGTTGCAGCCCCCTTTTTCTTACTCCTTTTCTTTTTTCTTTTTCAGAGTATGGAGGCAAATGGAAAATGCTTCATTACTTTGCTCAGCATTTCTTCTCCCCACTGTTGCCGATCGGCTTTGAAGATGACGATGTATTTCATATCTATGGTGTTTCAGACCTCCACGTGGATTACAAGATGATGCTTACTGTGAGTTCCTTAGCTTCTTGGTTAGAGAAAGGCAGAAGGACTGAAGGGAACAAGAAATGAATGTCTATCCTATTGATTTAGGACCTTGTCCAGTTTATATTCTACCAAAAGGTCTTCAAAGGCCTCTGTCAATATTGTTTTGGTCTGACCAGAGAGTGGGAGAAGGAAATGGCAAACCACTCCATTATCTTTGCCAAGAAAACCTCAAATAGGGTCACAAAGAGTTGGAAAAAATTAAACAGTAACAACAATGGCAAGACAGTCTCTATGAAATGCCTCTTCTTTTGATTATCTGTGCTTCCTGCACCGATAGGATGGCAGAAATGGAGCTTTGAATTTTTCTTCCTTTTTTTTTTCCTTCTAAAGCTAATTTTCTAATGAGAAAAAAAAATCTAGATGGGAAGGAATCCACACCTACAGCTTTGGGTGAAATTTCATAGAGATGAATGTTAAAATCTTACACTTGGATCCAAAAAATCAAATTGAAGTGAAGATTAAGAGAGGGTGTGGTTAGATGACAATTCATCAGAAAAAGATCTGAGGCTGTTAATGGTCTCAATATGAGTCAATGTGTTATAGCAGCCAAGAAAGCAAATCCAGTTATAAGCCACAATAAGAAAGGTATAGTGTCTGCCATTAGGCAAGTGAGGTGCTCCTTGCCTTCATCAGATCATATCAAGTTCGGCTGTGGGCAACCCAGCTTAAGAAAGACATTTAGAAGCTGCAAAGTGTATCCAGAGGACAGGTGGGATAGAGTAAAGGGTTTTGAGTTCATCTGTAAGAGGATTCTTTGAAGGAGCTGGAGAGGAATTCTTTAGAGAGGAAATTGTAGCTATTTTCTAGTATTTGAAGGGCTATCAAAAAGAAGAGAGATTAGTTTTACTGTGTTTGACTCCCAAAGGAAGAACTAGGAACAATGGGTGACTGAAGCAAACTTAGGGGCTTATGGCCAGGAAAGACTCCCTAACACATTAGAGCAGAGGTTCTTAACCCGGGATTCATAGAAACTTTTAAAAAATATTTTAATAACTGCATTTCATTATAATTGGCATAATCTTATGCATTTCATTTTTTTTGTTGTTGTTGTTGAGGCAGTTGGGGTTAAGTGACTTGCCCAGAGTCACACAGCTAATGAGTATTATGTGTCTGAGGCCAGATTTGAACTCAGGTCCTCCTGACTCCAAGGCCAGAGCTCCATCCACTGTGCCACCTAGCTGCCCCTTTTGTTTTGTTTTTTGTTTTTTTGCTTCTCCCATCTCTTCTTCCTCCTCATTTCTGTTATGACAGAGGTTCCTTTTCCCATGACACGGTTGGAATTTTTCAAAAGGAATTTTTTTTTCCAGGAAAATAAAGAGAAAAACAGAAATGAATGAGTCTTAAAATTAAGCACAAGTTCTTTAGGATAGAGCTTATCCACAGACTGGATTGATTAGCAAAGCTTTGGGGGCACTTTACCCTGATTTCTTTTCCTCTCTGGAATTGGAGAGGGGGTACCTAGATTATTTACCCCGCAGTAGGTTTTTTTTGGGGGGGGGCATTTCTCCCAGATCTGATTTTGTTGTTTGTTTTTTTTTTAACTTTTCTTTTTGGTTATCACCTCCCAGATCAACACTGTTGACCTTGAACTATGTTTTGCTTTCTTCTGGGAGGAGGAAACTGCTCCCTTATCTGGCCCCAAAGATGCCTTTCTCCTTTTGCCTCAGGCCCTCTTGCATTGACCTTGCAGATATTTCTTTACTCTTCTGTGGCTCTGTATTCATGTGGCTTTATGTCACCAAAAGTTCTGTGGGCCTGGGGTTTGTGCTGTTTCCAGGTAAATTGCCTGAATCTTACTCATTTTCCTGTTGTTGAGGCTATTTCTGCCCATCTGTAAGCCAGAATTTCTTAAGAAAAATATTTTTTTAAATAGCTAGCATCTTTTTTCTTACTCCCATTTGTCTACTCCCATAGGAAAAAAAAAAAACCCAACAACAAACAAACAAACCATTATAACAAATAAGTGCAACCAAGCAAAACATGTTCCCACATTAGCTACGTCCAACGATATGTCTCATTGTGCATTTAGCCCCATCACCTCTGTCAGGAGGTGGGGAGCATATTTTTAAAAATATAAATTTTTTCTTTATTTCATTGATTATATCTCAATTACATGTAAACATTTTTTAACATTCATTTAAAAAATTTTTGAGTTCCAGATTCTCTCCTTTCCACTCCTTCTCCACCCCTTGAGAAGGCAAGCAATAGGGTAGCAATTATACATGTGAAGTCATCTAACATATATTTTAATATTAACCGTGTTGCAAAAGAAAACACATTACAATATTACGGTTACTGTGTATGATGTTCTTCTGGTTCTGCTTACTTCACTCTGCATCAGTTCATATGAGACTTCCCAGGTTGTTCTGAAACTATCTTGCTCTTCATTTTTTATAGCACAATAGTATTCCATCACAATCCTATACTATAACCTTGTTCAGCCATTAATGGGCATCCCCTCAATTTCCAGTTCTTTGCCACCACAAAAACAGCTGTTATAAATACTTTTGTGCAAATAGGTCCTTTTTCCCTTCCATTTGATGGCTTTGGCATACAGAACTAGTAATGGTATTGCTGGGTCCAAAGGTATACACATGTTTATAGTCCTTTTTTCTTCTGAAATCTGCCTGTTCATATCCTTTGATCATTTATCAATTGGAGAATGGCTTTTATTTTTATAAATTTGGCTCAGTTCCTTATATATTTGAGAAATGAGACTTTTATCAGAGAAAGTTGCAAATTTTTTCCCCATTTTCCTTCTTTCCTTCTACTTTTGGCTGCATTAGTTTTGCTTGTGCAAAAACTTTTAAAAATTTTTATGTAACTAAAACTATCCATTTTATGTCATGTGATCCTCTCTATTTCTCCTTTGGTCATAAACTCTTCCCTTATCCATAGATCTGACGGGTCATATTTCCTTGGTCCCCTAATTTTTGAAATCACCTTTTATGTCTAAATCATTTATCCATTTTGACCTTATCTTGATATATGTGTGAGATATTTGTCTATGCTTAATTTCTGCCAAACTGCTTTCCAGTCTTCCCTGCAACTTTTGTCAGATGGCGAGTTCTGGCCCCAAAAGTTTGGGTGTTTTTGTTGATCAAACATTATATTACTATGGTCATTTACTACTGTGTATTTTGTACCTAATCCATTCCCCTGATCCACCACTGTATTTCTTAGCCAGTGCCAGATTGTTTTCATGATTACCAGGGAGCATTTTTCATTATTGATTCTCTGCAATCACAGCTGATTAAGTTTTTAAAGCTGTTTGTGTAAACTGTCTTTCTGATTCTCTTTGCTTCAGTTGGCATTGGTTTGTTCAATGCTGGCCAGGTTTCCATTATATTCACTAACTGTAATTTTATTCGTTTCCCAGTTGATGGGCACAGCATTAGTTTCCAGTTCTTTGCCACCCTAAAAATAGATGCTACAATTGTTTTTGTACATATTTATGTGCATAAGGTAGATTGTGAGTTCTTCACATTTGTTGTTCTGAGTTAGCTCCTGGGTCAGAAGAATGTAAGCTCTTTGAAGATCGACACTGTTTCATTTTTGTCTTTGTGTGTTTGGTACCAGCACAGGGCCTGGCACATCATAAACGATTAATAGATGTTGTGTTGGGTTGAACTGAATTGTCAAAGGACTTGTAGGCCTTATAACTGGTACTGCCTTTGTCCAGGGTTTTACGTTGTCACTTTGTAAGAGCTAGAAATGAACCCCTTGTGTTCTTGTTTCAAAATCTGCTCTTCATTTGGAGTTGCCCATAAATCTCAGAGCCCTATTCAAGAGGGACTTCTTTAGCTCTTGATTCATTTCCAGAAGAAGCATGACTGACACAGTCTAGAGGCCTGTGTTGCTCATGATTCAAGATTCCCAGATCTGGCCTCTTCTCCAGGTTTCTTTGATTATTCTCTTCAGTGCCCTGAGGGTTATCTTACAGAGCCTGTACTCTGACAGTACAATGTTAAAATGACTTAGCACATTGCCCATCTCCTGACCAAGAGATGATGGACTCAGGGCACAGATTGAGACATAATTTTTTTTTTTTTTTGGCATGGCCAGTGCAGCAATTTGCTTTGCTTGACTTTATGTGTTTGTAACAAGGATTTTGTTTTTCTTGTTTTCTCAATGGGGGTGGGAAGGGTGGGAGAAGTAGGAGGGAGAGAATACATATCTGAAAATTAAAAAAAACAATTATTTAGCATATCCAGCAACAACAGATATAATTTCCACCAAGTGAACAAGAGTCATTCCCTAACAGTTTGTTCCAAACTAGATGGGGGATGGATGGAGGGAGGGGAAAGTGGGAAGTTCTTGCTATCCCAGCTTTGCATCTGGGAGAATAATCACTAACTTTCAGTTATTTCAGGCCTGATTTTCCAGTTTGAGGCTTGTTCAGACCCTTTGTCCTCTTTGTTTTTTCTCCCTGCGCCCTGCCTTTTGGGCATTTCACCACCTACAGAAGGGAGAGAGCAAGGGAGAGGCAGTCTCAGCCTCTTTTCTGCCTTGGCAGCTCTGACCCAAGATCCTGCTGGAGAAGAGGTTCAAACTTCGAACTGAAAATAAAGGCAGTTTGTCTCGTCTGCCTGTGTAATCCCTGGGCCCCCATTAGCATGGATAATTGGCAGTTATGGTATTGTAAAAGCCAGTAAGAGGAGGCTGTTGAGTGTGGGTAGCTGCTCTGGTCTCCTTCCTTTTCAGCAAGTGTGCTATGGCCTTTGGGGGCCATAGTTTCATAGTACCGACTCAGCTGCTTGTCGACACAATGCCCTTGCTGGGACTGCTTATTTCGTGGAGAGGTTGTCTTCTGGAATAGACCTATCCTCATTAGCGCCCCTCTTGGTTCAGAGGTGCTACTTACTGATGGTGTGATTATCTTTCATTATATCCTGACTCTTCCCTCATCTCTTGAATAAGCCGAAGTATTCCCTAGGGCAAAACGTAGGGGTCATTATTTTAAATATTAAATGTTAAGAGAAGCCACAAGGGGTAGTAGATGGAGAGCTGGTCTGGGAGTTCAGACTCCCTTTTGACATTTTCTGCTTGGGTGGTCCTGGGTAAATTGCTTAATCTCCCTGGGGTTCAGTCTCCTCATCTTTGAAAATAAGGCATTGGATACCTGTGAGGTCCCTTTTGGCTTTATATATGATCTAGTGATGCCACCTTTCACCCATGCTGGCTATGTGACCCTGAGAAGTCATTTAACTTCTCAGTGGTCTAAGGTTACTCCCTTAAGACCCCACCATTGGCAGAGCATTTTCAGGTTTGCATTGTTAAGGGGGATTTCCTCTTGGGGCCTCCTTTCTCAAGGAGATCATAGATCTGTACCCCCCAAAACCAACCAAACAAAAACCATGTAAAATGGCATCAGGGTAATTTTGTCCTCCCTTTTTCTTTTTTTACTTAGATGGGTCAAGGGCCATTAAGTTGCATGCTTCTCTACTAAGAATCTTATGAGGGCCATGACTATTTGTTTGACATTTGAATATGCTTACATATACCTGTTAGTTCCTTTTTTAGCAATAGCACAATTAAAATTCTGTGATTGTTACCCTCAAGGTAACTGCTTATGGATTTAAAAAAAATTCAGTTTGTTCCTAATCCTCATTCCAGAAATGAACCAGAGAGAGGGGATGAGCCCCACAGAATAAAGGGACAGGAGCTGGGAGGACTCCTAGATATTTTGGTTGGGGCAAAATTGGAAGAATATAGACTTAAGGTCATTGACTAATTCTGCAGAAATATGATGATAACTGAAATGTTGTTTCAGAGCTAGCTAACTCCAAAGCAACGGTGTCATAAATAAATGTCTTGGTGAGAGTTTTCAGCTTCACAGTGATACCTGACGTTCTTTATATTAAGGATGTAATTGTGAAACCCTTGGTTGGGGTACCAGGATAGCTTTCCATTAGAGCCTGAGGCAACATGGAGCGATGATAAGATTGCTGGACTTGGTGTCAGGAAAAATCTTGGTTGTCTTTCCCACTTCTTAACACTTAGATGTGACAGCAGGAAAGTCCTCTGAGCATCAGTTTCTTTTTCTGTAAAATGAGGATGATTGTGCCTACCTTACAGAGTTGTTGTGACTAAAAAATATGAGATGTGTAAAGCTTATAAAATTTTAGAAACTATAAAAATGGGACAGCTAGGTGGGGCAGTGGATGGAGCACCGGCCCTGGAGTCAGGAGGACCTGAGTTCAAATTCGGCTCAGACACATAACACTTACTAGCTGTGTGACCCTGAGCAAGTCACTTAACTCCATTGTCTAGCCAAAATAAAACAAAAACCCCAAACTATAAAAACATCTGTCAGTCTTATCATTTAACCTATGGTGGTCCTAAATATAACTAATGACTGGAGGTGTCTTTTGCAGGTGAGAGTATACCAGTGGAGCTCTCTGGAGCCTGTGTGTTCTCGTCAGACTGAATACTTGGTGGTGAAGGCAAGCCAGGCAGCCCCCCTCTACAAGGAGCCAATGGTGGAATTGTTGAAAAGGTGTGGCCAGTGCACAAGACAAAGCTGTGTCATCTCCTTTGTCCTGACAGCTGGTGGTGAGCTCTCCAGCCCCACTAACTATCACTTCCTGTCCTCCCTGAAGGATGCTGTGGGGCTGGAGAAGGCACAGATCACTGTGAGTACCAAGTGTCTTAAAGTTGCTGAAGGGATATCGAGGTTATTTTTGGAGAAAGATAGCCCTTCCTCCACAGCGGAACCATAATCGAGGGTTGGCAAGTAGGGCTTTGCCCCAGGGTACCTGTGTGGGGAGGGTGTACTTCATTGGCCCATGGAAGAGAAGAGGGGGAGACTCCAGGTCTCTTGTGGGTCAGTTTGGGGATAAGGAACAGGGTCGTCTGATGAAAGATACTATTTCCAGGAGAGACTGGGGATGCGTGCAGCGGGGCTCTTAGACCACTTTCTACATTGAAACAGAGCCTTTCAAGGACCTTTTTAGATAGCTAGGTGGCAGAGTATATAGAGCGCCTGGCCTGGAGTCAGAAAGACTTGAGTCCAAATCCATTCTTGGATACTTACTAGTGTGACCCTGGGCAAGTCACTTGACCTCAGCCTCCATTTCCTTATTTGTAAAATGGGGATATTATTAGCACCTACCTCCCAGGATTGTTATAACGATCAAATGAGATAATAATTGTAAAACATTTAGCACAGTGCCTGGCACATAGTAAGCACTATGTGCATGTTAGATATCATCATCATCATCATCATTATTATTATTAGCACAAGAGGAGGTATCATACCTCTGGACCTCTTTCTTCCTGGGAGAAAGGGTGCATCAGGGACATCACAGTTTGTTCCTCCCTCATAAAGGGAGCAGGCAGTACATCTCTCCAGAGGAGGCATCAGAACTTGGAATGGCTGCAGGGAAGGGACCCTGGTGTGATAGGAGAGGGAACTTGCTGCTCGTTGGAGTGGGGAGAGCGTCCCTAAACAAAGGCACGAGAGCCCGTTTGTGTATGTGACAAGACAATAAATGTTTCAGGTTGTCTCCAGTTTGCCAGTTATGTGCATTTAGAGGGGGGTTGGTGGGGCATGCTTGTTTTGCTCCCTAATTTTTGGCTTCCACGGTGGCTTAATCATAAAACCTCAAAATTTGCTGCAAAGTAAAGATGGAATGGTCTATATTTTAAATATCTCAGTGACAGTGAAACAGGTCTGCCTACCTTTGACTCAGAAAATATCCATTTTATTACCATGTATGTAGAGGTCCATTAATTAATGTGTTGATTTTGATTGTTTTTATAGAAAATGTTACCATCCAGGTTTTTCAACTGACATACATTTCTGACCTGTTCTATGCAGAGATCCTAAACTGATAAGCCTGATACACAGCAAGCACTTAATATATGCTTGATGCTTGATTTATAAGGTTAAAGTTATATATAGGGATTAATTCTTGCTTCTTTTTGAAGGAGGAATAATTACCTTTGGAATGGATTTCATTTTTACTTGCAACTCATAATAAAGCCTATATGTCTTAAATTAATCCGGCCCTGCCACATCAAAACTAAAATATAAGGGAAAGGTGGGGAGTGGTATCCACTTGGATCCATCCCAAAAGAATTATGGAATTAGACAAGTATCTCATCTTGGGATCCTCAGACCTTTGGATCCAGGAGAGAGTGAAGAGGGTGGCATGGGGGAGAAGAATTTTTTTGAACCAGTTTTTTTCTTGTCTTCTCTCATTTGGACTTTTCACAACCTTTATCCTTCTCATCATAAAACCATGATGCTTATTATTAGATTGTCTTTTTAAGGAGGGAACATTTTTTGTGGTGCTGTTTTTTATTTTTCCTAAACCCACCAATCTTCCTTCCTGTTGAGAAAAGCCAAGTAAAAAGATGAGTCTTCTCCAAAGAGGCGCCAGATGTGTCCTTTACGACATCATAAAGACCAGGCAAACTCTGGAGCCCAGGTTTTTTGGGTCCAGCCCTCCCCTCGGCCCTCTCAAGTCGTAAGTCTTAGACAAGAGAAAATCGCCAATCTGGAATGCTGTCAGCATACAGCAGGGGAGAGTGGGCTGCTTCCCAGGAATCCTGGATATGCCTGGCAGGGAGAGATTCAGATGGTTCTAATGAGAAACTGGTGTCTGGCTAATAATTTTACTCAAGTGTGTTCTATAGCCCATAACAGTGAAAGGAGAGTGTTTGGTAATCCATCAAGATGTCAAATTGAGTCTTCATTCTTCCAGAGACTTGTTTGTCGTGTGACCTTACTACAAGTCACTTAAATTTCCCAGGCTCTTTCCCCTGATGCAAAATACCACCCCTCCTAATGATGTAGTGCTGGAATAACCAGTTGGTGAAGGTTTTGGGGATCCTCACAGAATAATCTCTGTATGAAGGACAGGCAGCTTAATTTCTTGGTTTGAGATTTAACCAGCACTTTCCTCAACCCTTAATGAATGATATTATGTGTTTCTCTAAGTGTCTGAAGCAAAAAGTGCATGAATGTATGACTAGTGATTATACAGTGGTAATTACCCAGAAATCCTCTGACTTTGCCGTAGGCACACACATCGTCCAGGGTACCTCATCCTATTTATGTTCTTTCCTCTAGGCCAAGATAACCCAGCAAGGGAAGGTGTACAGTTTTGAACTCAGAACCACAGCTATTGCTCCCTTTGTTTGGCTGGATGTAGGAAGTATACCAGGGAGATTTAGCGACAATGGTTTCCTCTTGACAGAGGAGAGAAAAACAATACTATTCTACCCGTGGAAGTCCACCAGCGTTACTGAACTTGAAAAATCTCTTCGCTTGATTTCACTGGCAGACATTTACTGAAGAAATACCAGTTTTTTTTCAGAGTGACCATTTAAAAAATCAAAACCAAAAATCATGTGATTATTTATGTGGTGGAAAAACTTTTAAAAACTACAACTCCTATTTATATTGAAGACACTGGAAAGCATGGGAATAAATGGACTTTTCCTTAATATGATTGTGGTAAGAGTAATACTTCCTAGGGCCTTGTTCTGGGCCCTAGGCTGGGCTTTTTTTCCCTAGGGCTCCACCCCATGCAGGCATTAAAAACCATCCTTGCTTACCTAGCACTTAGAACAAAAACTTTAGATGTGAATGGAGTTTCCTGGTTAACAAGGTATAAATGAGCCAGGTTCAAGGAGTTCTAGCTGTTCACCTGGATGGGCTTCTCTGATTGAGAACCTTCGTGGATAATGCAGATGCAGGAAAGTTGGGCTCAACTGAATCAGTGAGGGAGATGAAACTGTCTACTCAGGCCTTCAATATGATGGGGGGCAGGGAATCCCTTACAGGTCTCTAAAGACAGAGAGATTTTGGGGTTGGAGAGTCTTGACTTATGAGCTAGGAAACACTAGGTAATATAGGATGATAATATAGGATGATTTTCAGCATCAACCTTTGCACTGGGCCTGGCTGCACTGGAGAGAGCAATGACTTTTAGTTACCTTACTCATTGACCCATGTTGAGGATTTGTGGCCATAAGAAGTGTCATCTTGTAGCCCTGATATTCCTGGTTTTGCTTCTCTTCATCATTACTTATTCACTGTTTGACAGATAGGATGGCTTACTTAGAGAATCCAGGAGCTTCAACTAAAAAAAAATAACTGAAATAATCGATTACTTCAGTACAGTATGTTGTAGGTTAAATTTAACAAAAAGGTAAGCTGAGGCATGTTTCTCCAAGCAAGATGTCATTTTATTAACAGGGGCATGCTATTTGTCAATAAAAGGGTCAATAGATGCCTCAGTTTCTAGCCAAAAACCCATAATTGAAGCTGCAGCTCATTTTTATAAACATTGAATAAAAAACAGTACAGGGTAGGGATATCTTGGAGTTGAGGACAGCATGATTGGTTACATAGCTGAGATATGGGAAATGACATGATTGGTTGGAAGTTTGGTAATGAGAGACCAGCAGCAACTCCATTCTTCTCTCTTGTGACTAAGAGGTGTTCATTGAGTCCGGCTGCAAGGTTTAGCGATAATGGACCAGAATTTTTAGACAGCAAACCAAATATTCTTGAAGGATAGCTTGGTGGTGTAAAGATACTAGACCAGACTCTTTTATGGCAAGTCATATCCCCCAAGGTTAGTTAAATTTCTTGAGGGAAAAAAAGAACAGTGATTAGCAAGAGAACTGGATTTCTCAGGGCAGCTAATATAACAGTCACTAGGCTGTTCGACTCTGGGCCAGTCCCTTAATCCCAATTGCCTCACCAAGAAAAAAAAAAAAAGAAGAGAGAGAGAATTGGATTTCTAAAGTTAACCCATTAAAGGCCAGCTGAATTCTGAACTAAGTTCAGAGAACAGAGACCTATGACTTAAGCAATCACAGGACAAAATCAATTAATTGTAAATAGAATTAATAAGAACATGATACAGAATCAATCTTGATCATTTCAAGTAGCCGGATAGAAAATAAGCCCACAATAATCACCAGCTTGTCTGCAGATGGCTAATAGAAGCTAGCAGGAAGAGAGAGAGAAAAAGAAATCCCATCCAAAATAATTGCAAAATGTGTAAAATATCTGGGAGTCCACCTACCAAGACATGCTTAGTACTTGAATACAATAACAAAAAACTATAGAAATAAAGGAAAACAAATGGTGATATTAATTGTATTCTGTTGGTCTGCTAATATAAAAGTTATAATACTATTTAACTTATAGATTTAGTACCATACCAAAGTATTAAACATTAATCTCTAGTACTAGAAATAATATTCTTGAAGGAATAAAAAAATCAAGGAAAATAATGAGAAGAAAAGGAGACGTGAAGGGAGTCTCGCTGTAGCAGATTTCAAACTGAAAAGCAGTAATTACTAAAACTATTTGGTTCTAGTTAAAAAGTAAAGGAGTTGATTGATGTATGAACAGATTAGGTATAATATAAATAAGATTGTGAAACAATTACACATAGTACCTTAGTACTTGGTAAATCCAAGGACACGAAGTACTGGTGTAATGACTCACTGTTAGATAAAAGTCTGCTATGAGAACTAAAAGATAGTATGACAGAAATTAAATTTAAACAAACATCTTTCACCACATACCATAATAAACTAGAAATGGATAGATGGCCTAATATCAAAAGGTCATATAAACAAATTAGAGAAGAATTGTGCATTGGGCCAATTTCCTGAACTTGTGCATTGTTATATTGGAACTAAACTACCAGGAAGCCATTCTGCACCCACAATGATTGGCATAGTTGGTAGAGTGGTCTTAGCACCTTTTAAAGAGAAGAACTAGCCCATCCCACATGGCAGAGGACTATGGTAGACATCTCCTACTAGGAGAAGAAGGTACTATTTGGAATTATGGATATTGGAGAGAATTCTTGACTAAACAGAGGACAGAGATGATTTCATCATAGAAAATAAAATGGATAATTTTGATTACATAAAATCAAAGCAGTCAGAATTAGAAGGGTGAGTTATTTGGGAGAGTATTTGTAGCAAATCTCTGATAAAGGTCTGATATCCAAGGTATAGAGGGATCTTTTTATAGTTTAAAATAATTTTTTAAAATTATAAAGCATTTTAATAGCATTTTTTTAAAATTACATGTAAAGATAATTTTTGGGATTCATTTTTAGAAAATTTTGAGCCAAATTTTTCTTTCTCCTTCCGTCCTGTCACAGTTTGATATAGGTTATATTTATGCAATCGTGTAAAACATTTTCATGTTAGTCATAGTTGTGAAAGAAGAAATAGACCAAAGGGGAAAAAAAAACTCACAAAAAATAAAATTAATATCGTATGCTTTGATCTGCATTCAGAGTCCATCAGTTCTTTCTCTGGATATGGATAGCATTTTCCATCGTGAGTCCTTTGTAATTGTCTTGGATCATTTATTGCAGAGAACTAAGTCATTCATAGTTGATAATCAAACAATGTTGCTGTTACTGTGTACAGTATTCTCCTGGTTCTGCTCATTTCACTTTGCATCAGTCCATGTATGTCTTCCCAGATTTTTCTGAAATCTGCCTGCTCATCATTTCTTATTGCACAATAGGATTCCATTACATTTTGTATCACAGCTTGTTCAGCCATTTCCCAATTGATAGGCTTCCCCTTAATTTCCAATTTTTTTTTACCACCACAAGAAGAGCTGCTATAAATATTTTTGTATCTGTAGGTCCTTTTCCTTTTTTAAAATTATTTCTTTGGGATATAGACCTAGTAGTGGTATTGCTGGATCAAAGGGTATACACAGTTTGTTTGCCCTTTGGGCATAGTTCCCAATTGCTCTGCAGAATGTTTGAATTAGTTTACAACTCCACCAACAGTGCACTAGTATCCCAATTTTCCTACATGCTCTCCAACATTTATCATTTTCCTTGTGTATCATATTAGCCAGTCTATTGGGTGTGAGGTGTTGCCTCAGAGTTGTTTTAATTTGCATTTCTCTAATCAATAGTGATTTAGAACATTTCTTCCTATGACTATAGATAGCTGTGATTTTTTTCATCTGACAACTTCGTGTTCATATCCTTTGACCATGTATCAGTTGAGGAATGGTTTGTATTCTTATAATTTGACTCAGTTCTCTAAATATTTCTGAGAGATTTATCAGAGATACTTGCTGTAAAGATTGATTCCAAGCTTTCATTGCAAAACGTTTTTTTTCTACTGCCCACCTCTTTTTCTCAGCCTCCCCTCTTCCAAGGAAAAAGAAAAAGGAAAAAAAAAAACCCTTATAACAACAAAAACAGCAAAAAAGCATAGTCAAGCAAACCAAATCCCCCATTGGCCATGTTCCGAAATTTATTTCTCATTCTTTGTCTCTGTCAGAAAGTGGATAGCATTCATGATTACTTTTCTGGAATGTTGGTCAGTCATTGCATTTTTATTAGAATTCATAAGTCTTTTAAAATTATTCACTTTTTAAATATAGATTTTATAGTGTAAATTGTTTTCTGGGTTCTGCTTACTTCATTATGCATCAGTTCATACAAGTCTTCCCAGTAATCTCCAAAACCATCTTGTTAATAATTTCTTATGGCAGAATATTATTATTATGAAATCATTCATATACCATAATTTGTTCATTGCCCTATCGATAGATATCCTCCTTTGTTTTAGTTTTTGGGGTTTTAAACACTAAAAAAGAACTGTTATTAATATTTTAGTACACATTTAAGGCTTTCCCCCTTTCTTTGGTCTTTTTTGGTGTATAGACCTGGTAATGTTATCTCTGGATCAAAGGGTAAGCACAATTCGGCAGATTTTGAGGCGTAGTTCTGAATTGCTTTCAAGAGTGGCTAGACCACAAACAGAGCAATGATGTGTCTGTTTTCCTTCAGCACCTCAACATTTGTCATTTTCCTTTTTTATCAACTTTGCCAATCTTAAGGGTGTGAAGTAGAGCCTCAGAGTTTCTTTAATTTGCATTTCTCTGATTTTTAGTTATTTGAAGCATTTTTTTCACATGACTATAGATAACTTTGGAGAAGGAAATCACAAACCACTCTTGTATCTTTGTCAAGAAAACCCCAGAAGAGTCAAACATGACTGAAATAACTAAACAACTAGATAACTTGAATATCTTCCCTGAGAACTGCCTGTTCATATCTTTGACCATTTATCAATTGGCAAATGGCTTTTATAAATTTGAATAGGTTACTTATATACATATATATTTCTGTGTATATACATTATACACACACATGTATATATTTATAATTGATACAAATATATAAGAACAACAGCCATTCCACAATAGACCAAAGTCTGTGGAACCATTTTCAAAAGAAGAAATGTTATCAACCATATGAAAAAAATATAACAAATCACTAATAACAAGAGAAATGCATATTTTAACAACTCTGAGGTTCCATCTCATCCAGTAGATCAGCAAAGATGATAAATGATGATAATTATAATTGTTGGAGGGGTTGTGGCTGGATAGATACACTAATGCACTATCAGAAGAGTGTGCCTTAAGAATGGATGAATATGGAAGATTCAGAGAAACCTAGGAAGCCTGATGCAGAGTAAAGTAAACAGAATAAGAGTTTACTCAGTAATGTATATCAGTATGTTATGGGAACAGTATCATGGGAAGCAGCTTAGACTCTGGAATTCTGGGAATGTGTCATGGGAAGCAGCTTAGACTCTAGAATTCTGATCAATGTAATGACCAATCCGGACTCCAGAAGGCTGATGCTGAAGCATGCTTCTCACCTCATGGCAGAGAGGTGATGGGCTAGAAGGGCAGAATGAGACATATATTTTCAGACATAGAAAACGTGTTCATTTTTTTCTTGACTCTACTCATTTGTTACAAGAGAGACCTTGAGGGTGAGGAGTAGGCAATAAAAGGAAATGACATCAATGAAACATTGAAAAAACCTGCACAGAAGAGAACAGAAATAAGTTCAGAAGAGGATACAGACAAATAGGACAGTGCTGGTACTACCATGTTTAATATGTACTAGAAAAGCAGACTGTACATGAGTTCAGCATCTCATATATAATCTTTTCTGTTTACATATTAAGATGTGCATTTTTAAGTATTTAATTAAAAATCCAGTACTACTTAACTTCCCCTTGCCCCCATAATTTTTATGAATATCACTGCTGCTATCCATGAGCCCCTTTTTAAAGAAATGACATGCCATTTACTGGGATGCATGATGTGCATTGTTCTACTTTGTGGTTTTGTATTTCTGGAAAGATTTCCAAGACAAGTAGACACTCAAAGAAAGAAGGGAGACCAAACAACTATATCTTTATCTTCTCTGGTTGCAAAGCCTGTGTTTGAGAAGTTGAAATGATAGAGACCACTTTGCTTGAACAACAATCTACCATTACAGAAGTAGTAATCAAAATGGAAATGTTTTCATTCATAGCTTTGGAAATCTCATTTTGGGTAGACTCTGTCATTGTAGTTGTCTCTCATAAGCTGTATTTCTACGGAGAGTGAAGGTGGGCTAGAGTTCAGAAGTAACTCCTGAAATTGGAGGATGTTTCTAAACTATTCCAAAGGTGCCAGATACATAAAATAGAACCACTAATGAGGAAAAACATCTATTGGGTGCTCTCTTCTTCCTCCCCCCCCTTCTAAATTTACTACCATGAGATGATGAATTAAGATAGGAAATAATTATATTTGGAATGTATAAAATTTGGAATTTAAAATGAGTTTCCGGGACAGTGAACTTTAGGGGCATCTGATGGGCCATCTCATGGAGAATGTTGGTATTTTCTTTGTCCCCTTGGTGAGAATGCAGGGGATGGCTCCTGATTGG